GTAAGCATGCTCCAGCCAGCCAGGAGAAGGCAGGAGTAGTGTGCTCCCTGAACCTCCCCCTCCCATGCTCTGATGGGCTGGGGTGGATTTCCCCACTTGGAAGACCATGGGAGTGCTTTCACACCCTTGCGGTCCACATTTACAAAAAAGGCACCCCCCCCCCAGAAATTCTTGGCCACAGGCCTGTATTGTATCTAAGGAGACATGATAAATCAACAGCCAGTGGACTGATCACAGTAGTGGAGACAAGGCCTAAGATTTTCCCAAGGGGTCAGCACCTCTATTTGATATTTTATTGGGATCTGTAAATGAAAAAGGTTGAAAACTACTGAACCGGGTTCCTCAGATGCCACCTTTTCATTCTGAATCACCAGCCCAAAGTCTTAGTCCTCCCATAAATAGGAGCTTGCCTACACATGCAGCCTTCAGTACCAGCCTCTGAGTCTAAAACTGCCAGCTATGGAGCAAGTGCGAGTGTAGAACATACACTCCCACACCTCTTTCACCATGACAGAGACTTAAGCTAGAGTCCACTGCTTCCAACCTGAGCTCTCCCACCTTCGCTTACACACAGTGCCACTCCACAGAGCTGTGCTCCGTCCGGGCCCATGTCAGCCCACAGTGGCTAAGTAGGGGCGGAAGGGAAGCAGGCAAAAGAATTGATTAGAGGAGTGTCCCTAGGGCCGCTGCAGGGCTTGACTGCTGCCTGCTTCGCGCTCTGCGTGGGTGGGACGAGTAGCCAAGAAAGCAGCCCTCCTGTACAGCCCGGCCCCGATGCTTGTTTCCAGCGGGGCAGGTGCCTCCCAGGGAAACGCCTCACTGCCTATTGCACAGGCGTCTGGTAGGGACTGGTGCCAGCGCTCCCGGAGCTCAGCGCTCCCAGCGCTGTTACTTTCACCCCCGGTGTGAGCGCAAGGGAGAGGACCCAGCCCGCCCAAGGAGGGGAGCCCGGTTGGGGACGCACTGGGCTCCGGCGCCAGAGCCAGGCGGCGCCCCCTTGGGCACAGTTGCGCCCCCGCTGCCAGCTGGACCCTCCCAGCCCCTGGGGCGGGGAACCTGCCTCCCGGAGCTCAGCGCTCCCAGCGCTGTTACTTTCACCCCCGGTGTGAGCGCAAGGGAGAGGACCCAGCCCGCCCAAGGAGGGGAGCCCGGTTGGGGACGCACTGGGCTCCGGCGCCAGAGCCAGGCGGCGCCCCCTTGGGCACAGTTGCGCCCCCGCTGCCAGCTGGACCCTCCCAGCCCCTGGGGCGGGGAACCTGCCGGGC